GGTCTCCCTTGTGGCCCCAGCTGTCCTGGAACTCACTACGTAGACCAGGTGGCCTCGAACCCACAAAGATCCACCTGCCTCTGCCTCCTGAGTGCTGGGATTAAAGGTATGCACCACCATGCTGGGCTTACAATGCTTTTTTTTTTTTTTTGTCTTTTTGAGACAGGGTCTCCCTGTAGCCCCAGCTGTCCTGGAACTCACTATGTAGACCAGGCTGGCCTCGAACTCACAAAGATCCACCTGCCTCTGCCTCCCAAGTGCTGGAATCAAAGGCGTGCACCACCACGCCCGGCTACAATGCGTATTTTTAAAGTTCCTACTGCTGAGCATTCAACCTCTTTGTATTAAGAGCAGTAAGAGGAGCAGAAAATATTTAAATTTCGGACTTAAGAGAAATTGAGGTAAGTAAAAGTATTGTTTCAATTAGCAAAGGTAAAATTATTCAATAAACTCAAATTGAGCTGCATTTCAAGTAAATGAGTAATACTATAAAATAGCAGTTTTGAAAAAACTATGCACTATTGCCATTAATTTGTAAATCCCCGAAAACATTATTCCCAAAAGTCTGCCAAATGTGTGTGTGTGAATACAGATACACATGTGTTCACACATGTGGAGGCCACAGGCTGATGGTGGGTGTCTTTCTCAGTTGCTTGCCACAGTTTCTGGTGCTCACAGATTTGACTACACTGGTCAGATCTAGGACAACGCCTATCTACACCCCTCAGGAGTTACAGACATGGAAGCACACCACTTTTTACCAGGGTACTGGATCTAAACTCAGGTCCTCAATGCTTGTCCCACAGCAAATCACTGACAGAGTCATCTATCTCCCCAGCCCAAAGCTATACAATTTTTAATTGATATCTAAAACTTAATGTTTAGCACATGTCAAAGTATTTCCATGCAACACCCTGTTTGCATACCGAAATTCTGAAGTAGATTATTCTTCTCATTCTAGGAATTAAGAAAAGTCAAAAAGACTTGCCCAAGGACATGTAACAAACAAGTAAATAGCAGGCAGACTAATGTAGCTGCAGTTAATATTATCAAGTATTAGCTAACAGCAAATGTATAAGCAACAAGGGACTTTAGCACACAGAGCTTTCAATTATCAAATATTTAACAGCTAGTACATGCCTACCACTTAAATAATGACCAGACAAGGCTGTCAGTTTCTCACTTGTGGGTAAATGAAAGAAAATAAAATTTCAGTCATCACTAAACCTGAGAATATAAACATAAAAAGGACAGACTGAGCTAGGATCGAACTGACTTCAATATCTGAAAGCATAACCTGATCAGAAAAAGGAATAAGGTCACCAGACACAGTGAGGCACTTATAAAATAAGGTAGTGAAAAATATGCAGGACTGGGGAGACAGCTCAGTGGTTCAAGTGCTTGCTGTCAAGAATGAGAACCTGAGTTCAAATCCCTGACCCACATAAATGTAGAAGTAGAAATGACTCCACAAAGTTGTCCTCTGGCCTCCACACCTGCACCACGGCACATATGCCCACACACATACCATGCACACACATGCAATAAAAGGTAATTTTTAAATGTGGTTAGACTAGAGAAGTAATAAGCATAGGCTAGTTCATACAGAGTTGCATAACCAGTATTTTTAAATAAGTAGTAACATTAATGGGAGGGACAGTGAAGATTTTTGGACAAGGTTATGTCATGATTTGATTGAAATATAAAGATCTTCTTTTTTTTTTTTTCTTTTTGAAACAGGGTCTCCTTGTAGCCCCAGATGTCCTGGAACTCACTATATAGACCAGGCTGGCCTCAAATTCACAAAGATCCACCTGCCTCTACCTCCCAAGTGCTGGGATTAAAGGTGTGCGCCACCACGCCAGGCTATAAAGATCATTTTGATCATATATTTAGAGTAGAAACGGAGACCAAGGTGAGGACACTGTAGGAGTCATTACAGCATGAGCTTGAGCTGTAACAGGAGGTAAAGAAGAGCAGGCCACTCAGACTCTGTGGGGAAGGGAAAGGCTATGCATCATGGAATCAAGGATAATGCCTAGATTTTGGGATCTGGTAAAGAACTGGCTTCATATCAGTACTTAACTAAGAATCAGTTATGACTATATTAGGCCTAGGATACCTAATAGATGGTCAATATATGTAAGAGATAACTGTGTAGTATTCAAAACTTGACTGCTGAACTAATTTACTATAAATAACACATAAAGATTGAGAATCAGACGTTTGTAGATTAGGGAAAAGACACAGTCAACCAAGGAGTCTACTCTAAATGCACAATCTGAGTCAGTTATGAATTAGTACACGTCTCCAAACTGCAATTTCTTTTTCAGTATTCTTCCTGATCCACTCTAGCTCTTGGTTATTAGAACAGAAATATGAAAAATCCAAATTGAAAAGTTCAAATAAATAACTACCCTCCCAAATTTTGGGACTGGCAAAGATCAGAAACCTAGTTTACCTAAATTAAGACTAAATGTTTTTTAAAAAGGTTTAGCCACCAGAACAATAGGAATGTGGCAATACTGCCCTTCCAAAGTCAAATGGTATGAGAACACTGTAGATCAAAATACTACAAATATATTTTCAAACAAAAATATCACTTAATTTTATAAACTGTAATTCTTTGAATATATCTTTATTTCCTTAATATTCACTTTCTTTATTAACACCTTTTTTGGTGTTGTGCCAGGGAGGGAATCTAGAGCCTCATGAATGTTGTGGCAAGCACTTTACCACTGAAATCTAATCAATGACCATCTTAACACCAAATTAGCCAAACAATGCTGAATACATGTATGTGTTTAATGTAATGCTTGAACTTCAACTACAAAAACATTAGGCTGGATATATAGCTCAGTGGTAGAGCAAGGCCCTAAGTTTGATTCTTAGAACTGAAAAAGAAAAAAAGGATAAAAACTATTCTTAATGCCAAAGTTCTCATTTTTCAATGTGGGAGAAGAGCCATTTTTCTTCTACATTTCGAACAACACTGTTAAGTGCTGTCAGTACAGCTCAGAGGGAGACCACCTGGGTAGCACAAAGAAGGGCAAAGCTTGGATTCCCACACCACAAAGAAAACTTAATAATATAACAATAGACTACATGTTCCATAAAACTGTAGGAGGTAGAAACATAAAATCTTAAAAATAGAATCTTCTGGGCATGATGGCACACGCCTTTTATCCCAACACTCAGGAGACAGAGGCAGGAGGATCTCTGTGAGTTCAAGGCCAGCCTGATCTACATAGTAAGTTCCAGGACAGCTGGGGCTACAGGAAAATTCTGTCTCAAAACAACAAATGGCCAGCAGATGCATCAAAGAATTTTAAACTTACATATTGAAAAATCCTAAAAATGCTTGCTTACATTAGTAAGGTGACTCCAAACTTTACATGTATCAGAATCACTGGGCTCCATGGCTCAGATATGGCTCAAGTCTAGGGTGGGTCCTAAGAACATTTTTTAAGCTACAGTTCCATATTCTACTGGCCCTGCAAAGCTGACACTATACTAAGCAAACTAATTCTAATATACAGTACAATTTCTCATTAAAGACCCCTTTCCCTATTAAATTACTGAAGTTTCTCTAAACTGCAGATCAGAAATATCTTGCCTTAAAAGTTGTATTTTCATATATTGAATATAACATTATGAAGGCCAATTTAATTCAGGAAAACTGTGCTTTAAAAAACTTTTTGGAGAACAGATCAGTCAAGGTAGCTCTGGTGACCAGAGAAACACACACGCCAGCTCTCCCCTCACCTTCCCAGGTATGTACCGCTTGTGCAGCTAACAGCACAAGGTTTAGAACAGGGTGCTGGCAGTCCTTATAAAAATCATTCATTCTGGCCGGGTGTGGTGGCGCATGCCTTTAATCCCAGCACTCAGGAGGCAGAGGCGGGCGGATCTCTGTGAGTTCAAGGCCAGCCTGGTCTACATAGTGAGTTCCAGGACAGCTGGGGCTACAGGGAGACCCTGTCTCAAAAAGACAGAAAAAAAAAAAGACAAAAAAACCCCTCATTTTACTGATATGAACACTATCTTTTTACTTTCATCCATCAATCATTCCTGTGATTACTGTGATGGTATCTTCCCTTTTTTCTATTTACTATTTTCATTTTATGTGTATATTTCCTGCATGCATAGTAAGTAGACCCATGTTGTGCAATGCCCTGAGGAGGTCAGAAGACGGTGTCAGATTCCCTCGGAACTGGAGTTATGGATGGTTGTTGGCTGCCACGTGGGTGCTGGGACTCAAACCTGGGTCTTCTGCAAGACCAGCCATCTGTCCAGTGCCCCCCATATCGTCCTTTTTTTGATTAAGCAAGTATATCAGTAAGAAATAAACCTATAGAGCTGGGCGAGGTGGCACATCCCCTTAATCCTAGCTCTTAGAAAGCAAGAGGCAGGCAGATCTCTGTGAGTTCAAGGCTAGCCTGGTCTACATAGTGAGTTCCAGGCCAGCTGGGGCTACAGGGAGACCCTGTCTCAAAAAGATAAAAAATAAATAAAAAAATAAACCTATACTATCTTTTTTAAAACTTATTTATTTCTATTTTCTTTTTCTATTATGTTAAAACTTCATATATGTATACAATGTATCTTGATCATATCCTCCCCTCACTCCCCACTCCAACTCCTCCCAGTACCCCCCAACTTATATGATATCTTTAATCTCTACCCTTACAAACAGGAGTTCCCAACACTAAAAATAGGACTTAACTTATGCTAAAGTTCAAAGGTGACTTTTCGGGCCAAGAGTGATGGCATATGCCTTTAATCCAAGTACTCAGGAGGCAGCGGCACAGAGGCAGGAGGACCTCTGTGACTTCCAACTCAGCCTGGCCTACATAGCAAGTTCCAAGCTAGCCAGGACTACACAGCAAGACTCTATCTCAAAAAAAAAGCATTCCATTTTTTTATTATGTTCTCCCGAATTTTGAAATTTATACCTACCCCCGCAAAATTAACTATCACTTGAATCTAAGAGGACTTACGTCTCATGAGTTCCAAAAAAGAAAATGGGTAGTTTGTTTGTGGGTGGCTTTACAGCTCCATCAGGAACTTCATCCACCTAAAAGAAAGATCAGAAAAATTAAAATCTTTTTTAGTCATACAGAACTCAGCACATCTGAGCAAACTCAGAAAGGACACCCCAAATGGATCTGATATAAAAATCAATCCACCTTCCATGTTCATAACTCCAAAACAAAAGTTCTCAAAAGCAGAATTTTCCCCTAAGCACATCTTATGCAAAACCTGTCCTGACAGTTCAGTCTTTTAAGCCCGGAGCATTTCTACCTTTGTTTCTCTAGGAGTACTAAGGGTATTATGTGCTATCAGACCAACCAGCAGTAAAGCATAAGGACATGGTCCATGCTCAGCTTCCTGAAATCCTCAATTGTGATGCCACTTCACAGGAGAAATCGGGACCTGCTGTGCAATCCCAAATGATATTTCTGCAGGAGGGCCATGTAAACAATGGGTAATGTAAAAGCAGACAAGAAAAGCTTAAAGCATTATTTCCCAAAGTTTGAAAACTGTTATGAATTCTTCACTCATTGCCTGAACCATATGGGATTCAGTTCTCTTCCAATCTTTTTAACAGAAAAAGGAACAAGATTTTAGGCACCGTTACATCTAATGCTTCTATATGAGTCATTGTCTACACTACCAGGCAGTGTGACTATCTGGCCAGAATTCAGTAACATTTCTCTTTCAAATTTCAAAAACACTGCAACTTAAATATTAGCTGTTTATTAATGAGGGGGCTGATCCCTGGGGGACCTACTGTGCTATGTAAGCCTTATGGCACAAAAGAAATCATGCAGGTAACCAGACCACTCATCTACTGGGAGTACCTGAAGGTTGTAGACACTACGACAGCCATTACTATTCAACATTTCCAAGGACCTTAGTTTCTCCACCTATAAGGTGAAGATTATTCCTGTCATTACTACTTTGTAGGATGAAAGGCAACAAGAATTGTAAAAATCCCTAACTCTTAAAATAAGGACTATTTCCTGTCAACACGGTTCACATGCTTTCTGCTGTCAAACAGACTTTGAGAGTCTGTTCAAATGCTTGTCACCTGCACAGCTTAAGAAATGTTTGGCAATTTTTTTAAAGCTTTATTTTAAAAACAATTACTGGTAAAAGTTTGTAAGAATGTATAAGACTTAAAAATTAAGTGTGGGGCTACAGATGTAGCTCAGTGATAGTGTTTGCCCAACATACATAAGGCCCTGTGTGATCCCTGGCACTGGATAGAAGAAAAAGTGTTTGAAATGAATGGGCAGAAAACATTAAAACCAAAATTGGAATAAGAGGTCTCTTACAGTCTAAACCCTTACAATTGAAACCTTAAATACCTTAAATACCTTAAGTCTCTACAGCAAGATTTAGGATTTCTGCAGATTGAAGACTTGAAAAACCAACCACCACCACCAACAACAACAAAAAACGTAATTCGGTCAGGTGTGGCAGAGCAAGCCTTTAATCTCAGCCCTCTGGAGGCAAAGACAGGTTGGATCTGAGAGATGGAGGCCAACCTAGCATACATAGCAAATTCCCGCCCAGCTGGGGCCACAGGGAGGTCATGACTGAAAACACAAAACAAAATCCAACAAAGCTAAAAGACAAAAAAAAAAAGTAATTCTTAGACCCAGAATGTTAAAAGCAAATTTAACTGCTTCTATGGAAAAAAAAAAATGAGGAAAAGGTTAAACTCATTCCAAGTAGAACTTGTTTAAATCAAAAAGGGAAATACTCTAACCTTCCTAATGCACTCTTAGCCATCTAACATTCTGAAGAGTGTTGGGGAGATTTCCTGAAAATAAGACACTTTTTTATAAGCATTTAACATTTCGCTACACTGTGGCATGGAAATCTGAGTATGTATGTATCAGATAATCTCAGATTTTATGATACCTCAAAATAAACGCAGACGCCTTGGGGAACCATGAAAAGTGTCTTTGAGGAGATCTTAAACCTGCCCAGCTTTATTTTAAATATGAAATACAGTGTTTTATAAGTGCATGATTATGTTACTAAGAACTTTGGAAGCTAAAGAAATTCAGTTCAAGGCCACTGCTCTAAAGAAGTCTGCAATGTATGTAAAAGTCAAAGCATACACAAAATAATAGCTAAAAGGTTTTCCTTCAGGGAACAGGTTAGAATGTCAAATAAATAGACAAAGGTTATGATTAAAGATTGTTCAACAAACTCTACCAAAAAAAGTGTATTTGATAGATGAGAGGTAAAAAGCTTTGGAAAGGGACATAAACTCAAGTTCCCAGGGAGCTAGAAGGGAAAAAAAATGGAAGGAACTCGTATCTCTTTGGATGGCACTCTCACTCTTGACTCTTTATCTAATAAGGCTTGTCCCCATTCCTCTTCCCAGTAGACAGAACTAGAATTAGGAGACTGAATTATTCTTAAAAGAGACCTTTCAGAATAAATCAGTTATCAAATAGTTTGAAGAAAAAAAGTCACAACTTTAGATTATCACATAGTTCTGTGTTTAAAGGATTTTGGGCTTACCTAAGGCAAGGGATTCTCAACATTGTTTAGGTCCTATCTACCGCGTTATGCACACCCATAAACTTAAAAAGAGTATTTGCAAAAAACAGTGCTCAGGCAAGTGCTTAGACAGTCAATTCCTAAACCTCGCATATCGTCTTGGGTCCTTAATGGTCTCTCTGTATCATGGAACTATTAACCTAGGTTCTGGTCCACTCCCCCTTTCCCTGTAACAAAAAAGGGAAAACAGCTTTCTCAAGGTCATAAGAAATATGAATAAAAATGTGGAAATGTATCCACTGCAAATAACGTA